CTAACTTGAAAATGGGAGATCTGATTCTAAAGCATGGCTGGCGGGTGGTTTTGTGTCTGGCAGAGCTAGCTTGGCTCAGCCTTCATTGACACGTGAGATCAACGGGCCGCCTGACCCAACACCCTCCTTCTGCTGCCCTGCAGCTACATAATTACAGGGGGATATTGTTAGAGTTGGTGCCAGGCAGGGTGGGAGGGGTAGGGTACCAAACAAACACAATCTCACATTAACAAAAAGTGTAGAGTTTTACAGTCACATGATGGTATAAATTTGGGCTGCTGCTGACATTTATTTTCATTATAGATTAATCCGCAGATTATTTTTTCACTAATCAATTCCATGTTTAGTCTACGAAATGACAAAAAGAAATCGTTTTATAATGATAAATGACAAAGAGAAGCAACAAATCTTCTTATTTGAGGCACTGGAATCAGAGAATGCTGGGCTTAAATATACAGCAGCCTGACGAAAAAACTACCTGTAATGACAGAAACTATCTCATTCTTTCATTAGCCCTAACTGCTTATCCTATTAGATGTCGCAGCAGGGCTGGAGCCTATCCCAGCTGACACTGGGCGAAAGGCGGGGTACACCCTGGACAGATTGCCAGACTATTGCAGGGCTGACACAAAGCGGCCGACAACCATTCACACTTACATTCCTACCTACGGCCAATTTAGAGTCACAAATTAACCTAGCCTGTATATCTTTGGACTGCAGGAGGAAGCTGGAGTACCCCAAGAAAACCCACTCTGACATGGGGGAAGCATGCAAACTCCACCCCAAGGTTCGAACCCCCCCACCCCGGGTTCAGACCAGGAACCTTCTTGCTGTGAGTCAACAACGCTAACCACTGCATCAACTGTGTCACCGAGAAACTATCTTTGGGAAAAATGTATTTGATGTACACTTTGAGTGTTTAGTTTGACCCATGTCGCATCCACTAACACGGAGAGGGCAGGCTTTATGACCTGTACTGCAACGAGCCACCAGGGGTCGATTGAGATGTGCCGGCTTCACTTTTGGGGAGCTGTCATGTCGTCCACCTTAACATACAGTCTATGATTTTTGCTTAAGGATTAATCGAAAGTCAGTTATCATCAAATTACAAGAATCAGCATCAACATCTCAGCTTTGGTCTACATGTACATGTTTTAAAGATACATTTTAAAAATATGGATGGAAAAACTGAATACTTAAAGGTATACTGGATTATTGGTTACTGTTAGCAAACATGCTCCCCAACAAAAGTGAAAGTAAAAGTAAAAGAGTACTTCATTTGAAACCCATAAAGCGATTGGAGTGGCCTGTAGCACAGCCATGTTTGAACCTTTGGTGGCACGCTGAAGTGCCAACACCCTCAACTTCACCACAGACTGTACAGATTGCAGCTTATACTGCAAGAGAGTGAGCTCCATACTGGGACAGATGTTGAACTGACCATTTAAAGTAGTTAAAGTAGAGCGCCTCTGGAGATGGCAGCAACAGAAAGTTTGCTGATCCAGCAGGGAGTCTAGACCAACCCAACTCCCTGCTGGATCCCGGTGCAAAGAAGATCAAATAAGGTTGTCATTTGACTTGGGAAGTTGTGATACTGCTTCTTATTGTATTACTTTGGTTGATATCTCAAAGGTAACGATACCGTGCCCTAGTACACACACACACACACACACACACACACACACACACACACACACACAAACGACAGGTTATAAAGATCGCTGGGACTCAACAGGGTGATGTTACTTTAAAAACTTATGAGAAAGGAAAATCAGAAAGGAAAAACCTAACTACTACTTTAAGAATCTGCCACAGTCAGAGAGATAGTTGAGGAGGAGTGTGAAAATAAATTTCACTTCTCTGCACTCATTGACTTTTCACACATTATATAAAGTAAGTCAGAAGCTACAGTATTAGATGGTGCTTCAGCCAATAGACTATTGGCTCAGAGGTGAGATTACACCCCTGCCATACACACACACCCACATCTCTCATCTGAAACCCAACAACAGATTCCTAGCAATAATGTTTTAACCTACAGTAAACAGCTGTGAAATCTCACCAGTACCAGGCTGTGAAAACATTATAAGCTTGAAGTCAAGTCTTTGAAATAATTGTTAAAATAAAGAAAAAAGATCTTCATGTGCCATTGCAGAGGAAATATTTATATTTTCATTCTAGACATGTTTATGGATTTCCGAAGCAAATGCAAACCTCAGGACAAAATTCTGATAACTTTTTAATTGTGCCATATTTTCCATTTCCACATGGCTTGCAGCTGAGAGGACTGGCCACTGGCAGCAGTGAGGGTAGAGCTTGTGTTTCAAACTGCTAACACTTAAGGTTTCAAACATCTTAAACAGCTTTATATGGAGGGACACTTGTTACGTGGCAACAGTCAAAGCCACCACAACCACTTCCCTGAGCACTACGTGAACACTGTGACCTAAAAAGAGGATGCTGTATAGACATACATGATTATCTTCCAAATGTGGTATAACTTGTGCGTCATGTGAACAGTCTAAAGTAACTTATAAGAACAATAAACTGAAGTAATACTAGAATAAATAACAGATGTTTGAGCCTGGTGTAACACCCTAAAACTAAACAATTTATTGTAAAGTAATCTAAGCACATTTAGATGTGCCCTACCCTTCAGTAGTGCCTTGATCGACCAAAGCCTTGTGGGGGATTTTATGTTTATATTACTCATGAATTTCTATTATTTCATATTCCCTTTTTTATTTACTTACACATTGCAACTGAAACACTGGCTCAACTGTTTCACTGTGCACATAAAAATAGTTCTATAGAGATTTTGCAGTGCTTACAGTATTTATTGCGGGGTCTAAATCACACACAAATGCATTACAGGTGCACCATAAATTAAGTTTGCCTGATTTCTTGCTGGCCCAAATGTTTAAGACACTGACCATATTATCACCTGCACCCCTGAATGTACCCTCTGTACAATCACCTCCCTACTGTTCTGAGTCAAATATCGGCAAAATTGCCAAAAAAAAAAGTTTTCTTGGCTTGAGTTTTGCAGGGAATTAAACTCACAATTTCATCCAAGGATACTGGATCCAGGCATTGAGATAATAGGATAAATATGAAAACATAAAAACCCTGAACAGCCTACAGGTATCTGCTTTCACGGTGTATGGTAGAGGCACCCATAGGTTTCATGTTTACCTGATTAAATAAACCAGTTTGCACAATATGTTCTTGTGAAAATTTATATTTTTGAGTGTAATTATATTTTTTGACTATGAATTTTACACAAACATTACAGCCGTTCCTCCGGTCGTCAGTCTTCTTTATTGCACTTCACTTCCCAGCAAGATTTCCAGTTATAATATAATAGCTTAATTTTACTCTTTGACACACCTGGTAAGATTTGGTTAACTTTAATTACTTTTCTCTGACATCCGGCTGTGAGTTAGCTTTTCTCATCACAGTTTAATAAGAAAGTGTTGGTTGAACAGCTTGAACATTAGCTGGATTAATGAAGAGTAACGAGAGGAAGCAGAGGTGCGTGTGGTGTCTGTGGTATATGCTCTATGCATGTAACCAAACTAATTCTAATGCAAATGCCACACCTTATCATACTGTAATATCAATACTCCTCTGGGTTTTCAAAGGTTTATTAAATCTTTGTTTTCCCCTGTTAGCTTTAATTTCATTTGTATATGAAACTGACAATGAGAAGGTTCGATTAAAACCACAGGAATAAAACCAAGACTACTGTTGTAAACAGCATGTAGCCACATGAAAGAGTCCCCCACAGCCTCATGGTGACAGCATGTAATATCAAATGACTTAGGACAACATTGTTGAGATAACTGTGGGAAACGCTATTGTTTGACAGTATTAAAGTCCTCTTCAGATGAAACAGCTATCTGTAAGAGCGGCAATTACTCAGATCATCATGCAGCATTGCGATTCTACGAAAAAAAAGCCTAAAATGTTTTTAAAGCTTATTAAATCATGTTCTACAAGTAATTCAATTTAACAGTTTCTCAAAAACATCACTTACAGACTTCTAAACTTGCATGGCTCAAATTATACCCTTTGCTGTGTGTTAACGGACAAGTCTGAAGAATGAGGGCTTCCGATAGCAGAGTGATTTTCTTTTCCATGCAGCTTTCTCTGCGTTTCCTCAAATGACATACAGGTCACGGTTGTGCACATGGAAAATCTATTTCATTCGTCACTACCCACAAGAACTGCTTTTTCTCGCACTGCCATGGTTAGTTTCTATTTTAGAAATCAGAAAAGTCACGCTGATATCTATACTTAACATTCTCCTCTGAAACGGCTAATGATCTCCATCCATCACAACGGGCCTACATACCCGAGGTCTGCTGATATGTTTAAACATTTATGTTACAAGGGACATGAAAATACCAAACATGCATTGTCGCAACAACATTAATTCAGCTCAATCTGATCTGACGTAAAAGAGACACATGACGCCTGTTTGAGTCATGAGGAACAAATGGCACAGCATTAAGCGTCAGCCTTGGGTTTACTGTGGTGAGGTGTCCGTAATCCGTCTGAACTCAGCTTTGTCTCTGCTACACAGAAACTCGGGTCAGAGAAAAGCAGTCCAGTTCTATAGGATCCTTTCTCGTCACCATTTGACCTATGCCAGGCCTCCATGAAGGCAGCGCTGAACACCTTAGGCACAAAACAAGACGCTCTCTTTCATTGCAAGAACAATGAGGTCCATTGAGATGACACCGGCCCGACGTCACCAAAATCATGATTCCCTACAGTTACCTTCCCATCAGACAATGGGCCTTTTTTTTGCCACAGCTAACCCATGACACACATTTTGATGATGTGAAAAAGCAGCTTTTGTAATACTGAGACATGCCCTTGTATCTATTAACCCCGTGAAACAACTTGAGTTTATTCAGGTTCAGCAGGGTCCCTGTCCTGTAAATCCTGACCACTCAACATCCATGCCAAAGGCTTTTCATTTTTAATACTACCTGGGTGTGTGTGCCAAGGTGAAGCGCCTCTGCAGGGCGATGCTGCGATTCATGAGGAGCTTGCGGAACAGCAGAGGAGAGTGTCGGGGGGAGTTTCGAGGAGAGTTGCAGGGGGACATCCTTGGGGATCCACAGGGTGATCCAGACGTTGACTGCGGTTTCAACTTGGTGGGCTGAGTGCTGCTGTGTGGGAAGGAACCAGCCTCCCCAGAGCTTTCCCAGAGTGTCTCACTCATGGTGCCGTTTAAAGGTTAAACGATACCTGGTCTCTTATGCGAATCTCTTGTGCAGCCCTTGCAGTCCTGACAGGTATTCCAGGTCGTCCATCTCAAAGCAGCAGCGTTCGTCAAAGAGATTCATGAAATACCTCTCAAGTCTGTCTTGCAATGATGCACCACATACTAAGACACACTTGTGGGAGTCTCTGAATTCTTCAGATCCACTTTTCCTTGACGGCTTGAGAATCTTATTACCTTTCACAACAGAGCTATGTGCAAGCACTGTTGATGGACACGGACACGAGTGCAGGAGTGAGCCCTCCCCTCAGCAGTAAGCTCTGTTTACATAGCACTGAGCCCTGCCTAAATATGGCCAGGCCTGAATTATAGCGTTGTTAGCTTGTACCAAGGGTGAGCTAGCTGTGACCAGCATTCCCTTCATGCAGGAGTAAACTGGCAACCACCAAGCACGCCAGTTTACATCTGTGTCCTTCCTCAGCTCATCAGGGCACAAACATTAAGCAGTGATTACAGCTCTGCCTGTGTGGACACATGCCAGAGCTGCGTTGCGTTGAGAGGCTGCAGCCTGGTTATGTTTTTATTATGCCGGTCAGCAGGGCTCCACTCTGTCTAAAAACAGAGCCCGCTTGAGATAAAAGATAACAGGAACCCCGGAAATGTCACTGAAACTTTATGTCTTATCTCAAGTGAATAGTGCTTTCCCAACGGGGGTGAGGGGAGATGGAAAAAGAGATCAAGTTTCATCTTTGACCTACAGACAGCCAGTGACCCAAACCTCCTCTACCCAAAACAAAACCTTGTGATTTCAGCCAAAATACACAAACTAAAGTCCTAAATCTGCTTGTACCTAAACATTTCCCTTGATAAGTAGCATGCTGTAAATACAAGTTGCTCCTAAATTACACAAGTCAGTTCATTAATACTCCGTAAGCGTGCCTCACATGTACCTTACAATGCATTCCCCGTCTGTTTATCACATACACAGGTTCACACTATGTTCAGTATCAGGGGTTCACAGATCAGAAGAGTTACCAGTGGCTATCTGTCTGTCTGTCTGTCTGTCTGTCTGTCAGGATTCAGCTGCATATGGGTGACAGGACTATTTTGGCCTGATGCTTATCATTAATGTGCTTAAGATGGTACCAGACAAAAGCAAGTATGACCTTTATACTGGAATATTTTTACTCCAATTGTGATCTGAGAACAGAGCTGGTTAAGCCAACACATTTCTGTCTTAGTTTTATAACTCCTGCATTGGAAAACAGGTCTAGACAATTGGTCAGTGAAACATACAAAGGATTTTGAATCTCTTTCACCGCTTTATCCATTATTCAAAGTGTTTTGAAAATTTATTTATTAAATTTAAATTAAATTTATTTTAACTGAATTTTATTATGTAACAAAATGTAAAAAAAAGGTTCAAATGGTACTTTTAACAGCAGGCACACTATCTTTAACTAGTGTAAACCATGCATCCAGGGCTTCACACATCAGCCATGGACTTTATAACGCTCTTGGTGTAGTATCTAACCAGAAGGTCCGAAGATGGTCAGCATGAACATAGTTCTGCCGGACCAGTGTTATCTTTAGGTGGTTTGCCATGGATACAACTTGCTCATTGTTGAATCATCACACCTGCCCCTGTGAACAAGAGCCCATCGAGCCCTCAGCAGTCCAGCAAAAAGCCCACTCATGTTTGGATTCGAAAGACAAAAGGTTGCCAATGGTTGGCTTTGTGTCAGGATTCTGCTGCATATGGCTGATAGGAGTATTTTGGCCTGATGCTTAGCACTGGTGTGCCTAAGATGGTAGCAGACAAAAGCAAATACTGGAATATTTTCACTCTGATTGTGATCTGAGAACAAAGCTGGTTAAATCAACACATATCTGTCTCAATGTAATAACTCCCTCATCAGAAAATAGATCAAGACAATGTGACTGTGAAACATACACAGGATTTTTAATCTCTTTCATTAGTTCAGGCATTATTCAAAGAGTTAAAAGTGCTTTACACAAGATCCTTTCTTCTTTTTTCACCTCTTTTTAGCCTTCTTTGTCATCAAGACATTCATTGTTGCACCATCTCTGCACTGCAATTATCAGAGATAATCTGCCAATCAAACAGTGTGACTACAATGCCTTAATGCTGAGGTTTTATGTTGAAGTCGTCTGGGTTTCTGTTGGTAGTGCTTTTCCTTTTGTTTATTCAATCACAGCTAAAAGCGCAATGTTTAGAACAGCAAATGGTATAGGTTTAATCAGTGTTATCATGTGCCATATGGTGCTGAGCAATGTGATCAATACTTAAGGGAGCAGTGTGTAAGATTGAGGGTGATTTAATGGCATGGAGTGGTGAGGACTGCAGATTGTAACCAGCTGAGAGTTCTCCTGGTTAGAATTCCTTTAGTGTTCATGGTTCAGGAGGTTTTTACCAGGAACTGAATTATTCGCAGAGGTCTCCTCTCCAAAGCAAACAAAACAGGTGATTAAAACCAGTAAAGACACTGAATTAAAGCAGTTTCACATCAAAAGGAGTCAGTGTTTTTCAATGCTTTCGTTGCAAAGAGGCTGCAAACTACAGTGCAAATGTCCTTATCTTGGCTCAGTGTTTTGTTTTATCTGTTCTGGCAATCTCCGTAGACAAAGACCCACTTCCTATGTAGATATAAACCACTCATTCTAAGGTAACAAAAACATTTTGATTCTTATTTTCAGGTACTTATTACATATCTGTTATATTACATTCCATTTCTGCCCATATATACACTTAAATCCTACACACTGGACCTTCAAAACCCACAATGTACGCCTTTTAATTGCGTCTGTAAAGTATCTAAAGAGCATTCACATCTTTATGGCAAATCATAAAATGATTCCAACATTCATATTCATAACTATGTCACTCTGCATCCATTTTAACGAAGCATTAAAAGTAGTGAGAGAGGAGGGCTCTTGAGCCTGAGGGGCCCACTGCCAAAGTACTGATTTAACTCGGGAGGGGTCAGGGGGGGTCACTGCAATGAGCTCACTAACAAAAACACAGCTGTTGTATGAAGAGCCGCCAAATGTGACCAGCAGATGGGGCCCACGCACAAATATATATCAAGCACACTTAGGCAGACAAATACACTAATATGAGCCAGATGACATAAACTCAGGATAACAAAATGTCAAATCATCCTATGGGGATTTGACTTGGAGAAGTCCAACTTTAGATCATCAGTTAATTTTTTTTCCAAGGCACCACACAGCATCCAAATGACTTCAGATTTCTTTGCTGTCCTTGTACAAACATATAAGGAAATTCAGGTGCACTCAAGGACCGGGCTTGGGTAATAAATAGTGATAAAATAGCAATAAAAATAAATGCTTCCATTCCACTCACAATCTACACACACACACACTTGTACATACACTTCATATGCAGTTAAAATGGGATTTAAAAAAGTGCTCATGCATATTCTTTGCACTTAAAATAAGTTATGTATCTCCACAATACGAGGCCCCAGTGCTTTCTCAACCTCTAACCCTGGAAACACTCCACATCATCTCTAACACAGTCTACCATTACGCCTGTGACTGAATATGGCTGGTTGAGTGGGATTTGATAATTAAAAACACAAAAAATTGTAGACCGTGTGGGCAGAGTCAATCAAACTGCTGCCATCATGAGTCAATGGGGAGAAAAACGAGGAGCTGAATCCTGTGTCTTTTCTTTAAGCGACTAAGGATACATGGAACTATTTATTCGGCTGACTCACATACCCTTCCTCCTCCCACCGCCGACACAAGATCAAACACACACAAGCACACAAGCAGTGCTGGTTGCGCCGAGACATACACACACAGATCAACTTGCGTTAGATACCTGAAAAGCGTGCCGCTGCTTTATCCATTAAGCTCCATTATCTGTAGGTGTAACTGCATCATACTGTCTCTCTCATGCTCAGCCAAGGACTTTTAATAAAAAGGGATGGAAACAACCTAACTACATAAATACAATTTCATTTGAGCGAAATGCTTCTCACTTCCTGAGCCAGCAGCAGCTCCGATTAAAATCTCTCAAGGCTGTCTTTTTAATAAAAAAGAGATTTCCTCTAAAAGTGGGCGTGCGTGTGATTTTAGCTTTCATAATGAATGACCCTTCAGGTGCTTTGTGGCGATGCGGTGAAGGAGATGAAAAGGAGAAGGGAGATTTGGGGTTACTTGGGTGTATGCAGATCTAGAAATAGGCAACAACACAGAAACAATAAGTGTTTCTAAGAACCAAACTGTATCTGATACAGATGTAACAAAAAAAGATTAAAGATTACACCTGCACCTTTTTTTGTAGATTTCCACTGATTCTCAGGATATTTTAAACCATGTTAAATGAGTAAGGCACGGGGTGTGGTCAGCAGTGAGCTTGGTGTAGAAATCAAGATGACTACTTCTGCTGTGTTTGAGGTCCAGGTGCGACAGACACCGAAATGAAACCCCTGCAGCGTCATGTGACACAGCCGGTGTTCGTTGCACTTAGGCTGCTTTAGGCAAATCACCAGCATGTCTTTGCCAAGGAAGGAGCAATGATGTTTAGCCCGCCTGTGGCTCCTCATCAGCTCCAACAGTGCAGAGAGAGGGTTGGGTATAAGACGAGGACAGTGTGTCCGTGTTGCTTCACTGTTGTGGGGTATGTGAACAGAAACACACCGAACATGCTAATGCACATTCAGTAGCATCACCCAGATGATCCTATCACCAGGATGACAAATGCTGGGATGCTTTCAATGGTTAAATATAGCCAAGGTGGAACTAAGGCACATTTTTTTTTAGTTATTATTATTATCATTATTATGTGCTTTGGGGCATTTTCAGTTTTTGGAATAAGAGATGCTTTTCAGTTTTATAGCCTGTTACTGCATATTGCTACTTGGTTTTACTGCATGTCACTAATTCAGCTTCTTCTCCGGAACCTTTGTTCTCCACTGTCTTGCAGGTTCCCTCATATCGCAGCTAGGTCTGAATCATGTGTCGTGGTTACACTGCTGCCGTGGTCCTGTCTGATTCCTCCTACTACTGCAATTATTATTAGTCATATTTATACACATATGATTATTATTATGTGGGCGGCACGGTGGGGTCGTGGTTAGCACTGTTGCCTCACAGCAAGAGGGTTCCTGGTTCATGGTCTGTGCAGAGTTTGCATGTTCTCCCCGTGTCAGCGTGGGTTTTCTCTGGGTACTCCTCCCACAAAC